CTTGTTTCTAATCCAAATATCTAAAACCTCTTAAATTAAGAAGCATTTTCTAGACATGTAAAATGATTGTTGTGTTTTCAGAAATAAGGAGTCAAAAATAAGGGAGTTTTTCCTTAAAACAAGCAATATAATCTTACTTATATAAGATAAATATAGTTGGTCACACTTTATTTTAAGTTAAAATTCTGAGACTATTAGTTTAATAGACTACTTATTAGCTGATTATAAACAGTACACTGCAATAAATGCTTTTCTTAATGTTTAATCTCTAAAAATCATGAAGCATTTTCTAAACACAAAATAAATATAGTCTTGTTTTCAGAAATAATGAGTCAGTATTGAGTTTTTCTTGAAAACAAGCAAAATAATCTGCAAATGGAGAAGCAAAATAGTCTAATTTTAAAGCGAAAACCAAATTACTTTGCTCACCCCAATATCAGATTATTTCACTTGTATTAAGGAAAAACTCTCTTCATTTTGCCTCATTATTTCTGAAAACAAGACAAGAAGTAAAAATGTTGTTTTATTTTAAGAAAGTCAAAATTAGGTGAGTTTTTCCTGAAAACAAGCAAAATAATCTGCCAATGGAGAAGCAAAATAATCTTATTTCAAAGCGAAAGCAAAATTACTTTGCTCACCCCAATAGTAGATTATTTCACTTGTTTTAAGGGAAAAGCCACTTCATTTTTACTGATTATTTCTGAAAACAAGACTATATTTTTTTGCCTATCCAGAAAATGCTTCTTGATTTAAAAACTTTTATATATTTGGACTAAACAAGACAGAAACTAAGAAAAGCTTTGTTTTGCAATGTGATTTCAGATTTTTTAGTATTACTTTAAATGAATAAAACCATTTACAAATATAAATATCCCCTCAGTATTTTATTTTCTGTGAAAAAAAAACAAGTGAAAATAAAATCTTGCATTTTTCTTATAATTTTTTAATAGTCCAAATATCTTATTCTTAAATTAAGAAGCATTTTCTAGACAAGTAAAAATGTTGTTTTATTTTACGAAAGTCTAAATTACGTCAGTTTTTTCCTTAAAACATGCAAAGTAATTTATTTCAAACCAAAAAGTTTACTCACACTGTAAAAAAATATTCTGGTTGCAGGGTTCAACGTTAAGGACATTTTCTTCTGGCCCGACTGGACCAGCTGTTCAGATTTTTACTTGCCATGCCAAAATTTTCACTGGCCCCACCACAATAAATAAATAAATAGCTATTTTTTAGCCACATCTTTTAAATGCATCAAAAATAATGAATTTAAATATTTTTAAAATGTTAAAATATTTAGCAGTAATATACAGCAGTATGAAAAATGTCCAGGTATTTTATTGCAAAACAAAAGGTGGCTGACTTAAAAGTGATGGAAACTATATGCAAAACATAATTTTTTTTGTCGTGTTGTACCCATGTAAATATCTGTTTCCACAATGTTAGAAACAGACGTTTTCTTTTAGCCTCATAATTTGATGTTGCCGTCTCTTCACTGTACTGGTTTTTACCAGATTGTGGAAAAAATAACTTGCTCACAACATCCAATCAGATAAAAGGAACCAAAAAGCAATATGGTGTTTACGACTTCACAGAAAAGGATACATTCGAAGACTTAAAAGCACAAATTGTTATTCGATTCCAAGACTGTATTTGCATGCAATTGACAAATAGTCGCAGGTAAATAAAGATTTTGTGACAAGGCAGCACTGGCCTGATCGGGCCAGTCACGATTCTCTCTACTGTCCCGAACATCTCTCACGCTGGCCCCGGGCCATTAGGCAGTCCTTATTGTTGAGCTCTGGGTTGACTTAAATTTTTAAGCTAAATCAAATTAACCTTATATGAGTGCATTGAACTTATGTTAAACTGAGTTAAAACAGCTTGTGTAACTTATAAAGTTAAATAAGAACATGATTAACCTCGTTTAATAAGTTGCAATGAACTCATGACTAATTGATCATATATTTTTTACAGTGCACTCACTCCATTAGCAGATTATTTTGCTTGTTTTAAGGAAACAATTCTTAAATCAAGAAGCATTTTCTAGACAGGCAGAAAATACAGTTTTGTTTTCAAAGATTTTTCCTTAAAACAAGCAATATAATCTTATTTATACAAGATGAATATAGTTGGTCACACTTTATTTTATTATAAAATTCAGAGATTATTAGTTCAATAAACTACTTATTAGCTGATTATAATGCTTTTCTCATTGTTTCATCTCTAAAAATTATGAAACATTTTTAGACACAAAAATATTGTCTTATTTTTAGAAATAAAGAATCAATAAAAAGTGAGTTTTTCCTTAAAACAAGCAAAATAATCTTATTTCAAAGTGAAAACTAAATTTCTTTGCTCACTTCATTGGCGGATTATTTCAGAAAATGCTTCTTGATTTAAGAACTTTAAAATATTTGGACTAGAAACAGGACTAAGAAAATCATTTATTTGCTGTGTGATTTCAGATTTCTTAGTATTATTTTTAAATGAATATAACCATGTACAAATATAAATTTCCCCTCAGTATTTTGTGAAAAAACAAGTGAAAATAAAATATAGCTTTTTTCCCTAATTATTTCTGTCTTTTTGTCTCGTCCAAATAACTTAGAAGCATTTTCTAGACATAAAATTATTGTTTTGTTTTTGGAAAACAGTAAATCAAAATTAATTTTTTGTTTTTTTCCTTAAAACAAGCTAATTAAACTCATTTTAAACCAAAAAGAAAATTACGCACTTACCTCACTGGCAGATTATTTTTTGCTTGTTTCAAGGAAAAACTAGCTTAATTTTCACTCATTATTTCTTAAAATAAAATAATACTGTTTTGGATTTTTTTGGAACAAGACAAAAATTATAGTGTAAATGCAAAAAACACAAAAAAATCCAGCCTGATCTCACGAGGAAACGTAAGTATTTTATGTTTTGACAATTTAGTGGCGAATTCGTACGAGTTCAGTCGTACGAATTTGTACGATTTTAAAAAAGAGGCGTGGCACCTAACCCCACCCCTATTGGGGGATGAGCAAATCGTACTAAATTATACAAATTAGATCGTACGAATTCATACGAATTAGCCACTAAATCAAAAAGTTACGAATTGCCGTGAGATTGTGATGAAAAAATCAGATTTCAGCTTTTTTACTATTAAACCAGTATAACCCTTTACCAATACAAATATCCAGTCAAGTGTCTTTATTTAATTTTTTCAGCCTGCTTCGTGGTTCATATGTAATGAAAAAGTAATAAAATTGTGTTCTGATGCATTATTACTTAAAAAGTATACTATATAGCGCTGAGAAAAGATTAATCGATATTAATCGCATGCAAAATAAAAGTTTGTTTTGATATGTGTGTGTATTATATATAAATATTATGTATACATGATACAAACACAAACATAAAAACAAAACTATTTTGTTACACAGATATCTAAATTAATATAGAATTTGTAGCATATACATATATTTTATATCTAAATATAAATAAACATTTTCTCTAATATAAGCATGCTGTTATTTTCTATTCACTTCCTCACTTATTTTCTATTTAATTATGAGATTTAAATACTGAATTTAGGTTACATTTTAAGCACTGTTTAGCTAAATTAGCTTTATTAATCTGGGGTCGCCACAGCGGCATGAACCGCCAACTTATCCAGCATAATTATTAGCCCCCCAGAATTTTTCGATTTATTTTTTTCCCCAATTTCAATGGAGAGCAGATTTCTTCAACACATTTGTAATCATAATAGTGTTAATAAATCATTTCTAATCACTTATTTATTTTTTCTGTGCCATGATGACAGTAAATAATATTAGACTAGATATTTTTCAAGACACTTCAATACAGCTTAAGTGAATTTAAAGGCTTGTAATTAGGCAAGTTATTGTATAACGATGGTTTGTTCTGTAAACTATCGAAAAAAATATAGCTTAAAGGGGCTAATAATATTGACCTTAAAATGTTTTTTTTTTTTTTAATTAAAAGTGCTTGCTTAAATAAAACAAGACTTTCTCCAGAAGACAAATATTATCAGACATACTGTGAACATTCCCTTGCTCTGCTAAACATAATTTGGGAAATATTTAAAAAAGAAAAAAATCAAGGGGGGGGGGGGGGGGGGGGGGCGAATAATTCTGACTTCAACTGTATTTGTTTAAATGTATAAGCTATTAATGTGTGTGTGTGTGTGTGTGTGTGTGTGTGTGTGTGTGTGTGTGTGTGTGTGTGTGTGTGTGTGTGTTCATTTATGGTCATACAGTATCAGATTTCCATATGGAAATGGTGATTTCTGCAATATGGAGTTTTCTGAATGTTTTTGAATGTCTGGAGATTGTCGTTGTCTCTGTGAAGGGAAGTGATGAGTTTGGGCTGTAATAAACAGTTCATTTAGTCTTTATTTTAATACACACACTCTTCCGTCCGCTCGGTGAATATAAACTGATTCTGTCAGTCAGATCCTCTCAGGATGTTCACTTTAAACATTTGTGAAATATTTACTCCAGCACGAGACTATTTTTTCCTCATATTTATCAGCAATTCTGTGCATAATATTATCTGTGTCGGTTATTTACTCACCTGAAGGACTTTCGCATTTATATATATCGTTTGTTTCTTGTTCAGTGTCGGTTTTATAAGCGGAGAGCGCCATCTGTCGGATTTATGTTCACTCAGAGAATAATACTCCTCTTTCCTGAAGATTTCCAGCTAAATTAATCACATTTATTCCATTGAATATTATTATTACAAACTATTTTCTAAAACGCCGCGGTTAAAATACAAATTCGCGCGCAAGCTTAACGTTAGACTGTACTATTCCACAGGCACGGAGTGTATTTGTTAGTCATTTTCTTACATACGAAACATTTTCCTATCTGATGTTCTGTAAATAAGCGAATATCAATATTTTTCACAATTTTATGCATCGGCAAAGATGACCCCAGACGTCAGTGTTCTCGGTGATGCTGATTCCCCCCATGAAGTCCTACTGAATGGTTCAGTCCCAAGATGGCGACCTCCATCATGCAGCGCTGTCTGTTTCCACGACGGAGGTTTATCCAATGTATTGATTACAAATCAGTTGGTGAGTTTGTGTTTAATGGTTGATTGATATGTTATCTTCGTGTTGAAGTCATATTAAGATTAATATACAGGTGTAGGGCTGTACTCTTTAATACAGACGCCTAGAGAGGTGAATGCGAGGAGACTCCGATGACACATGATTCGTTTATTATTATTAAAACAAATAATTGTTTAATTATTCAGTGGTGATGAAGCTGAATTCTAACATTGCTTTAGATAAAATAAATACAAACAATTAATGCTGTCATTTGTCAATGCTGCAAGTTTTAAAAACACCCTCTTGTTCTGGAGATCTGGAGGCTTTAGTTTCATAACCTTCAAGTTTTTACACTGTTGTGACAAGATTATGATGTTTATTAGGACTTATTATTTACATTTAATTTATTATAGGGTTTTAATACCAAGAATTAATTAGCATGACCACAGTTAAATTCAGCTGCGTTTTATTTATAATAAAAAATGTATAGAAACATTAAAATTGCATTATATATTACTAAACAAAGGCATTTTTTCATGGCGGATTTGTTTAGACATATGCATTAAGTATAAAAACAACACTAACAAAATAAACTTACACTAAAGACGTAATACGAACAGTATTCATTAAAATAAAGCTGCACAATATTGGAAAAATGTAACGTTGCCATATGTTTTATTCTGCGAAATATATTGCGATAAGATTACAATTCCACCTTTAATATTGATTTGGAAATAATTTATTATTTGAGATTGATTGGGATGATTCTGTAGGGCAGTGCATCTGCATACAATTTATTCAACAATCTACAAGCATAGAAAAATTCAATAAAAACAAATAAACAAAGTAAATAAACAGCGTTTTTTTTTCGAGAAGTCTTACTGTATTCAGCTATACAGTAATTGAAAAATCTAATGTAAAATAATACTGCATAGTCTTCGTTGTATAAACAAGTCATAAAATGTATTGCAGTTAATGTTTAAAACAGCACAATTTATAATCACTGAATGCTTTTAAAATCCTCATACAGTCACAGGACTCAAACATTTGCAAAATGGTCAGTTATAATACAGACTCAACATTGCAGATCCTGCGATGTGACTATAGTGAATGATCACATGCTGATATCAATGCTGAAATGATACACTATGCAGCTCTACATTAAAAGGATTTTCTCTAAAAGTAGGAGTGGTATTATTATAATTAAATTATTCATAAAAGCAATAATAATAGTCCTGTAATAATAATTAATAATAATATTAATTATTATTAGTAGTAGTAGTAGTAGTAGTAATAGTAGTAGTAGTAGTATTAAATTATTCTTATTGTTAATACCAACAACAGCAATAATAATAATTTAATAATAATAATAATAATAATAATAATAATAATAATTCATTTATTGTTATAATTATTCTCTTAAATATTTTTCTAGGTGACCCACATTATCAATATTTTTGTTATTAATTGGCTTTTCATATGTATTAACATAATATTAATTTTCTTTATTGTGTTTTATAAATGTTATTGCACAGCTCTTTGATCAGTGTAAGACTGTATAAAGTGCAATATTAATAAAAAATATATACAAAATAAATAAACAGCCTTTTTATTGTTTTCCGAGAAGTCTAACTGTATCCAGCTACACAATAATTGAATAATCAAATGTAAAATAATGCTGCATACTCAATCAAATGTATTGATATTAAAGTTAAAAACGGCACTATCTAATCCCTGAATCCTTTTAAAATCCTCATACAGTCACAGGACTCAAAAAACACTTGCAAAATGATCAGTTAAAATACAGACTCAACATTGCAGATCCTGCGATGTGACTATTGCGAGTGATCACATGCTGATAGCGATGCTTAAACGATATATTGTGCAGCCCTACATTAAAATGATTTTCTCTAAAAGTAGGACTACTACTATTATAATTAAATATTATCAAATCAATAAAAATTGTTATGTAATAATAATAATGATTAATTATTATAAGTAGTAGTAGTGGTATTAAATTACTCCTATTATTAATTGCAACAACAGCAATAGTAGTAATAATAATAATTATAATAATAATAATAATAATAATAATAATAATAATAATAATAATAATAATAATTCATTTATTGTTATAATGATTCTCTAAAATATTTTTTCTAGGTGACCCACATTATCAGTATTTGTATTATTAATTGGCCTTTCATATGTATTAACATTTATTTTATTTATTTATTTTTGTCTTTTCTCTGTTTATGGTTTTGTATTCCCTTTATTGTCTTTTATATATATTTTTGCACAGCTCTTTGATCAGTGTAAGACTGTATAAAATGTAATTTCAATAGTCTTTTTATTTCCCTGTGGTAAATATCACATGTTATAGTTTACATGCTCTTTTATATAACTTAAGACTGACATTTTGTTTGAGATCAAAAGTAACAAATCTGATTATTTGATCACAGGAGCTATACAGTATATGAATAATGTTCACATTTATTCACGCACCAATTCATCAGTTTAATTTGTGTTCTTTCAGCCAGAAGATGTTTGCTGTCGTCCGCATACACTAACGCCACAATATGGGAGCAGAGACAAAAAGAGCCACACAGCCTGGGTGAGACTCACACTGCAGCTTTCAGATGAACAGAGTGAATCAAGTGAACCAATTTCAATTCAATTCAATTCAATTCAGCTGTATTTGTATAGCGCTTTTACAATGTAGATTGTGTCAAAGCAGCTTCACATAAATGGTCACAGTAACTGGATCAGGGTGGTTCAGTTTTTTGTGTTTAAGTTCAGTTCAGTTTAGCTAAGTTCAGTGTGGTTTAAAGTCATTACTGAGAGTCCAAACACTGAAGAGCAAATTCATCGATGAGTAGCTTTTCATATCCTGAACCATGCAAGCCAGTGGCGACAGTGGAGAGAGGAAAAAAAATTCACCGATAGGAGAGTGAAGAAAAAAAACCTTGAGAGAACCAGACTCAGTTCGGCACGACCATTTTAATTTCTCCACTGGCCAAAAGTCTTGTGCAGAGCTGCAGTCTCAGCGGTGGAGGCTGGAAGATGGCCTCAGCAAAGACTCATCTGTCCCTGGAGCGTCACTGGAATCAGTCTCATACTCTCCACTCCTCCATGACAGGCGCAGCAGCAGCTCAGGATACGGCCTGGTCCCGGATATGGAAACCTTGGGATCATCTTGTCGCTGGTTTTGGGTCCAATCAGTGACTCTGCATAATCTGAGGACCTCGGGATGAGGATCCCCAGGTGAAAATGGAGAATAAAGAGAATAATTAGCGTAGCTGCTGTTCATAGTGTATATAAACAAGATGCAGAAACTTGTGTGGAAACCCACTAAATTATGCACTGAGTGTATGCTTTACTACACAGATAGGTCTTTAATCTAGTGTTGAACTGAGAGAGTGTGTCTGAGCCTCGGACGTTATCAGGAAGGCTATTCCAGAGTTTAGGAGCCATAAAGGAGAAGGCTCGACCTCCTTTACTCGACTTTGCTATTCTAGGTACTACCAGAAGCCCTGAATTTTGAGATCTTAAAGAGCGAGTTGGATTGTAGCGAGACAGAAGGTTGGTTAGATAAACAGGAGCTTGATTATTTAGAGCTTTATAGGTGAGGGGTAATATTTTAAATTCAATATGAAACTTAACAGGCAGCCACTGTACGGAGGATAACATTGGGGTGATATGATCATATGTTCCGAGGGAAATCCTCCAGCCGACACCGACAACAGTTCGTCAAACTGGGCTGGGCTAAGTCAGAAGCACCGCTGTAAGCCTCCGTGATCCAGGTTCAGTTTCTGGAGGAGTTTATGAGCTCACAGAGCTGGATGCACCTCTGAAAGGATGTAGTGGACTCATAAACGACCCTAAACGTATCGACGCTGTTTTTCAGTCTTCATAAAGCACCTTAACACTGTTATTTTCTTCATAAAATCCATGTTAGCCATTTAGCTATAAAGCTAGACTCTTCGGGCAGACAGAAGCCCTGCCCATCACGCGAATCCGCGTCAGTTCTAAAGTGAATTTGACACGCAAATGAAGCGAGTAAACTCAAATGTTCACGCGGCTATTTACGCGCGAATAGCGTGATTTATCCGCGCGTTCCGCGTCTGGTGTGAACACAGCATAATGGCTAATGGACAGACGGCTGCTTCTCACTCAGGGCTGCTGTTTATGCTAATAAGGGAGAGATGGGCACTAGTGGGCGGGGCTTTACCCATCTGATGGCATGTACAAAGGGAGAATGTCAATCAAAGAGTTTCATTCATCAAGTCTGATTATAACAAACACAATTAAATCATGTTGCAGGCTGGAGATATTCACACACTGCTGACAGACACACAACTGTAACTGTACCCCTTATAAAAGTCATTTTTGCATAATAGGTCCCTAACCAATATTTTGCTCATAATTATGTGTACATGAAGAGAAATCTGAACTGTTTATGTGGCTTTTCTGAAGGATTTATTCGTCCCCATTTTAAATAAATCATCAATGCTTTATTTAATGTTCCTCCGATTATAGATTTAATCTGTGTTTTAAATGTCTGTATGTTTATTTCTGTCTATCTGCAGGTCAGTTAGCTGCTCTGATGGACCGAACGTATGAGAGAAAGCTGCCCGTCAGCTCCTTGGCCATCGGCAGGGTGAGAAATATATATATTGTGTTTAAAATGACCTGTATTGCGATAATAGTGATGCAGTGCAAAAAAATACTTTTCTTTCTTAGAGTTTTTGTCTTGTTTCTGGTCTAAATATCTAAAAATTCTTAAATCAAGAAACATTTTCTAGACACGCAAAAAATATAGTCTTGTTTTCAGAAATAATGAGTCAAAATGAAGTGAGTTTTTACTTAATACTTTTTATGATTTAATATTAATATTCTTGTTGTTCTGAGTGTGCCAGTTTAGGTTCAGTTTAATACACACTTCAGATGTTTTTATTATAATGTGTTAAAGAGTGTCATGTTGTGGGCGTGTACACAGCTCGCAGTTTTAGGGGCGTGTTGCTTCACATGAAAATTAGTTTCGACTTCCCGCCCAATGTAACAAGGGGGCGGAGCCAAGAGCTCCCCCACTCTGTGTTTGGCAACAGACAGGCAGACAGAGAGAAGCAGCATGAGTGAGAGGATCAGCATTCAGCCGTACATGTACGACTCGGACACAGACCAAGCAGAGAGTACACAATCATTTGTGTCTCTGTATAGTTTTACAGCCAACCGTGTGCTAGTTTCATGTGCCGAGCTTGTACACCGAGACTAATAACCACGCACACTGATTTAACTTTGACTAAGGCACCGCATGTGCCGCTCAAGAGCCGCGACACAGAAATATGAAGTGTCTTGAATCGTGGCGGGGCGCCGCGGACATCCACCAACTTGAAGCGCTGTTGTGTGTACTCGGATAGAAACCTATGTTTAGAATTCTAGAATGCATAACGCTGTGTGGCGCGATGCTGAGCTTCTATGGTTGAGAGGAGAAACTCACAGAAGGACAACCATCTGTGCAGCAATCCACCAATCAGGCATCTGTATGGTAGAGTGGGCAGACGGAAGACACTCCCCGCCTGGAGTTTACCATCTGAAGGACTCTCAGAGCATCAGAAACTAAACTCTCTGCTCTGATGAGACTCAAACTGAACCGTTTGGAGTGAACGCCAGGCATTACGTTTGGAGAACAGCAGGCGGCGCTCATCAGCAGGCTAACAGCATCCCTACAGTGAAGCATGGTGGTGTTGGCATCATGCTGTGGGGATGTGTTTCAGCAGCAGGAGCTGGAAGACTAGTCAGGATAGAGGGAAAGATGAATGCAGCGATGTACAGAGACATCCTGAATGAAGACCTGCACAAGAGTGCTCTCCACCTCAGACTGGGGCGACGCTTCATCTTCCAGCAGGACAATGACCCAAACCACACCGCCAACATATCAATGGAGCGGCACAACAACAATGTGGTGAATGTCCTTGAGTGACCCAGCCAGAGCCCAGACCTAAATCCTATTGAGCATCTCTGGAGAGATCTAAAAATGGCTGAACACTGTCGCTTCCCATCCAACCTGATGGAGCGTGAGAGGTGCTGCAAAGAGGAACGGGCAGAAATTCCCAAAGACAGGTGTGCAGAGCTTGTGCCTCATATTCAGAGAGACTTGAGGCTGTAATCACTGCCAGAGGTGCATCAACAAAAACTCTTTTTTCACATTGTCATCATGGGGTATTGTGCGTAGAATGTTGAGGAAATCAATTAATTGAATCCATTTTGGAATAAGGCTGTAACATAAACAAACATGGAAAAAGTAAAGCGCTATTATTACTTTCTGGATGCACTATATATGTCACTTCAGGATTTATTTATTGATAGATTTTTGCATTTTTTCTTAAAACTTCTGGCATTATTTGTTTGATTTTTTGTGTTTTGCTGTGAAAATACACAAAAATCATGGAATTATACATTTTTTCTTGTTTCTTTTTAGACTATTGTTCCAGTATCATGCAGCCCTAATTTTAATAATTTTATTCTATATAATGAAATTAGAATGCCTCTGCTGTTTTCCTCAGTATTTGTGTTGAACGTACATATGCACACATTTATGTTCAGTTCATAGATAATATATCATCCAGAGATGAAGTGGATCAAGCAGAATATTACCTGTATAAGTGAGTATCTTGGCTTTATTTTAATGTTTTGTTCAGGTGTTGGTGTGTTTGTGCTGTGAGTGTGTTTGTGCGTTCAGGTTTCGTCACAGTCCAAACTGCTGGTTTCTCCGGGATTGGACCGTTCACAGCTGGATTCGACAGTGTCTTAAATACGGAGCCAGAGATAAAGCTCTTTACACGCTGAAGAACAAGGTCTGAATTTCATTTTAACATGAAATTTTAATTGTTATTTATTTTATGTTATTATTATTATTATTATTATTTCTTCTTCTTCTTCTTCTTATTTATTCTATGTTTAATTTTTAATTGTATTTATTATTTTTATTATTATTATTACTCTATTTTTTGTTTGTCATTTTATTACTATTTTATTATATTTTTTTTTTGAAAAAATTATTGTTGTTTTATTATTATTATTATTTTATTTTTGTATTATTATTATTTATTATTATTTATTCTGTTTTTGAAATGAATTTATTATTTTTTTATTTAATATCATTATTACTCTATTTTTTGTTATGTTTTATGTTCATTTATTATTATTTTGTTTTGCATATTTTTTATTTAATATGTTGTTGTTTTATTATTATTGTTATTTTATTTCGGTATTTTTATTTTTATTATTATTATTATTATTATTATGAATTAATTATTATTTATTTTGTTATTGTATTTATTTGTTATTTTCTTATTATTTTTTTTATTTTTTTATTTATGTTTGTTATTTTATAATCATTTATTATTTTATTTATTTAAAATGTATTTTTATTTTATTTTATTTAATAAACTGTACAAAATAACCAGTACCTTGAAGTAAACTTTTAAGGATAAAAACGTATAAACAATAAAGCATATGGCTTACTTCCATTGCAGCCCTCATGGTTAATTTCAGGTATGTCTACAAAGTAGAGAGTTAATATACAGTCCTCATCATAAATGTTTCCATGCTGTCTTGTAGGTTCAGTTCGGCATATTTCCTGATGACTTCACCTTTAATATTCTGATCGACTCCTTTATAAAAGACAAAGACTTTAAAGGTTTGTAAAGTTTTTCATCTTTCAGTGTCTGACTATAAATTGTGATTAATTGATGATGGGTTATTTAATTATTAGAAAATAAAGCACATTTTTTATGGAGTGGCCATTACACTTTAGCCGTTCATTACTAAAAAAAAAAAATTGACCATTCTGGAGGTTATTATTATGCTTTTCTGATCTCCAGCACAGCTGCTGAATCCACTGTTCAGATGTTGTGTTTAAGAGTGTATTAGTCAGGTGTTTGTCCTCCTGTGTGCAGCACTAGTTTCTTCCACATCTTCTCCAAAGCCTCCGGTTGTTCGCTAAACATTCAAGCTTAACTGTTCACAACTAGGGCTGTGCGATTTCGCCTAAAATCAAAATCTCGATTAATTAAATATTGTAACTCGATTGCGATTAATGAATGATTACTTTATTTTTAGTAATAAATAGCAGAAGTTAGAATTATTCGCCCCTCTTTGTTTTTTTTTTTGTTTTTTTTTTTAATATTTCCCAAATGATGTTTAACAGATTCAGGAAATGTTCACAGTATGTCTGATAATATTTTTTCTTCTGGAGAAAGTCTTATTTGTTTTATTTCGGCTAGAATAAAAGCAGTTTTTAATTTTTTAAACACCATTTTAAGGATAATATTATTAGCCCCTTTAAGCTATATTTTTTTCTGTGAGTCTACAGAACAAACCATCGTTATACAATAACTTGCCTAATTTTCCTAACCCCTGCCTAATTAACCTAATTAACCTAGTGAAATGTCACTTTAAGCTGTATAGAAGTGTCTTGAAGAATATCTAGTCTAATATTATGTGCTGTCATCATGACAAAGAGAAAATAAATCAGTCATTGGAGATGAGTTATTAAAACTATTATGATTAGAAATGTGTTGGAGAAATCTGCTCTCCGTTAAACAGAAATTGAGGGAAAAAAATAAACAAGGGGCTAATAATTCTGACTTCAACTATATTTATATATGTGTATATATTGCCTTTTATAGTTCACTGACAATGTTGAACTCATGTTGAATCCAGGAGCGTGTTCAGTTGTGGAGGAAGTGATGCTTCAGGAGTCGTTTGAGCAAATCTCCACACAGATTCTGTCTCTTCATGCTCTCAGCAAATATCTGGCAACCCAACCTGAGCTCAGCGTGAGTATCTGAGCACTGCACTGCAGACAAATGCTTTTCTTTCTCAGAGTTTTCGTGATGTTTCTAGTTCGTATATCTTTTTCTAGACAAGCAAAAAAAAAGAGTTTTTTTTAAAGCAATTAAAAATCAGTAAAAAAAACAACTTGTTTTTCATTTTGACATAAGTCTATTTTACTCATCCCATTGTTAGATTGTTTTGCCTGTTTTAAGGAAAAACTCACTTAATTTTTAACTCACATCATTTCTGAAAACAAGACCTTTTTTTGCTTGTTTAGTTTGTTTGTTTGTTTGTTCTGAGCTTTATTACTGAGACATGACCTGCAGATTGTGTGTCTGTGTGTGTCTGTGTGTGTCTGTGTGTGTCTGTGTGTGTGTGTGTGTGTGTGTGTGTGTGTGTGTGTGTGTGTGTGTGTGTGTGTGTTCAGTGGCAGGAGGAGAGGAGCATTGGAGCATCGCTGCTGCTGGCAGGACTGAAGCAGGAGAACTCCATTGGTTTCAGTGCGCGGCTAATGGGACTCGCTCTTATTGGTGGGTACCTTCATATATAACACAACTGCTGTAACCACTTCCGCCTTGTAGTGCTATCGCAGAGAGGCTATAAATCTCTTTCCAGAACCTTTTCATTCACCGTTCCTCACTGGTGGAATGATCTTCTTATTCCCGCGTGGACTGCAGATTCATCGGTAGCCTTCAAGACCCCCACACGCCAACCCCAAAACAAAGACTTAACTGTACACATAAGACAGGCTATACAAGTACTTTTACATGAGACTGAGGAATGTTGTGCAGGATATTGTGCAAAAGAGGTATTTAAGGTTTAACATTGTGCACGAGTTATTTAAGGTGTAGCAAGCAGTGCAATTTGAATGTGGTACATTTATATTACATAAACATCGCTTTCCTTATTGAGTCCTTGTAAGATGGAGTTTAGATAAAGTGTCAGGTGCATAAGAGAGCAGAGTGTTTCTACAGGTGGTTTGTCAAGCCCACTCACCTGAATACAGCACTTTTCTAGTGGTTTTTAGATACTTTAATTAAAAAAAATGGTACATATCGTGCCTTCAATCTCAATGCTGTGGATGCATGTGTGTGTGCGCAGGTAAAGTGGAGTTCTCCAGAGGGATCCACGCTGTGTTTCATGAGATGCCGCTGATCTGGAGCTCTGGTTATCTGCGCCGCGCTGTCGCCGTCCTGCAGGCCGTGAGTTCAGACTTCACAGGCGTGCAGATCTCCGAGGACGCGGTGAGTGTGTGTTCATCACAAGAAGGATAGATGACCATAATGAGCCCTAAACATCTGTCAGAGTTATCAGAGAGTCCACTTCAATGATGCTTCTGTAGTTTAAGATCACAGGACAGAAATACGGTTTCCAGAGAATTATGATTTAACAGATGAGAAACTTCTGTGAACGCCTCAAAATAACACACTGCTGATGCGAATGGGATTTAATAATAATAATAATAATCGAATAATGAGGATGATAATATAGAGTGGAGGAACTATGACGTCACTTTGTAGGCTAATCGGCTGCTAGCATAAAACTGGTTCCCTCGTGAAAATCCCTATAGGATTTTCCCATAGGCTTTTCGAAGATTGCGAATAATAAGCTCTGTGATCAAACACTGTTCATTACACTTACACGTTTTGTCCAGCCGGATAATCCTCACACGAAAATACAACTTTGAGCACTTTTGGATCTTAAATGCAAACGCAAGAGTTGAAAAGCTAACATTAGGCTATTAACGGACTACAGAGCCCTCGGGGCGCTCAGCTGTGACGTCAGCACCGCCCTGCTACAGACAACTTATCAAGCTTATTTTTAGAAATATTGTCCATGACAAAGAGTTAATCTCTCCGTTTATTATATTATAATCCATGCTATATATTATAAACAAATAAATACGCTAAAACACATAGACCTTTGTGCCTTTTGGATTGTTTTTACGTGGGAAATACGTCTGTTTTGCTTTGCGGTTGTTTTAAAGAGCCCATATTATGGGTTTTTGAAAATTCCCCTCCATGTAGTGTGTAACACAGCTCTAAGTGAAGTGAAGTATCCAGCTAAGGCTTAAATCTGTAAGAGTACAGTGTTTAAAACTGTTGATTCATCTATAAAAGAGTCGATTCATAGTGCTTCAAACGAGTCGCCTTGATACCGACTCATTAGGTGTTTCGCCATGACGTACGAACGAAACAAAGTTTTTCACGTGCACGCGCAAACCCGGGAGATTTCAAACCTGAGGCCCCGCCCTCTGATGCAGTAACCCAGACACACACACACACACCCACAAACACACGCACACAAACATGCCGGTCGATTGAACTCACACTGCAGATGGATATATTGAGTCTCTACCCAAAGATGAAACCTCAGCATTATAGCCAAGCAGTTGGAAACTACTGGAAACTTCTGGAAGCTACATGCTACAAAGAATACTTCATCTGCGTTTGTTAAAGGAAGGATCAGTAACTTACTGATGGACGTCAGGATGGGTTTCTTCCATTTCTCAAGTGTAAGTACGTGCGGTTAAAGTTGTTGCCTCGTTGACTCTAGCTTGCAAATGTATTTAGTTGTGATTTGTTACTTGTAACCGAGTGTACTGTATCAGGTTAACTGGCTATATTCTCTTATCGCGTGCAAAGTCACGTTAAAAACGCGACGCGTGGTGCTTTGTTTATGGAGCTCCGTGGTAACGTTAGAGGTGTGCATACCCGCGGCTGTCCCCGCGCCAGATTTCTGCGGCGCGGGAATAAATTTCCGAATAAATCGCCGGAGCGGTCGGTAACGGGTTTGATTTGGGACGGGAGCGGACTGCCTGAGAAAGAGAAAGATGTGTCTGCTTGGTGCTTGTGTGTTAGTGCGCACGCGCGCGTATGAGAGAGAGAGAGAGAGAGAGAGAGAGAGAGAGCGAGAGCTTTATGCTTGGTGCTGTGTGTGTGTTTATACAGATTTTCGGTTTTGTTCTCCCCCGCTCTTTAGCGGGATCGGGCGCGGCGGGCAGAATACGGGGCGGGTTCTAAGGCTAAAACCTGGCGGGTGCGGGCAGAAGCGGGAGCGTTCTCGTCCGGAGGTGTGTGTGTTTGTGTGTGTGTGGCAGCTAAAATCCACGCCTACACTATCGAGCGTGTGTGAACTGTGATTATTTTATATTGCTGATTAGCTGTTGGCCATTTCACTCTCTGACTGAAGGCAGTCGACCAATCGCGACAGACTGTCATCGGTCCAATCAGCGCAGATTAGCTTCGCGCTAAGGAGGGGTTTGGGAACAAATGAATCACTGAACGATTCATACAGGAGTCGCTGGGATAATTAGGTAAAAATAAATGCAGATTATAAGACCATGAAAGTGTTTTTTGACCTTGCATGCATATTAGACTGTTGTTGGAGACCCTTACAACCAAGATATGACCCTATTTCATGTATAATATGGGCTCTTTAAAAGTTTTAAAAATGTGTATAAATGTGCCTATATAGTATTATTATGAGACATTTAAATAAGTGTATCGCTCGCGTGCACACAGCCCGCTTACCTTAAACAGACAACAGAAATGGGGCGTGAGGAGGAACAAGTCAATCAAATGCCTGCAAGTTCCATCATGGACACAGAGCAACATTCAATATTCCTTTTTTGTCACGACGTACAGCGAAAAGCAGCTCATACAGTCACATCTGCTTTACATTTTATGGAGGAGTGTAAATATTGCAGTAAAATGTGTTCAGATGAAGAAAAAAAGACGAGAAATCACTTGATCACGTTAATGATAGTTAACATGCATGTATTTGTACACATTTATTCACACGTTTGCATTACTGAGAGCAGGAAAGAAACAGGCTGCACTGGTAAGCAGTATCTTCATAATATCGTTTAATTAAAATAAATGATCAACAAATTAGTCTATCGACAGCCTTTACAACTGAAACAATTATCTACACACAATCTGAATTCTCAATTAGAATAATACAACAAACTATAAAATACTATTCATGAAAATACTTAAATCACAGACAAATCCAAATGCCCAACGCAAGCGAGCTGCGCTCCAGACCAGATCAGCTCGATGACGTATAATGTCCCCGACGCCGCCTGTAGTCCCATTTAGCAACTTGATAGCAACCGTCTTTTTAAAGAAGCATAATCGATTTAAAAATTCAAGAGTGTGCTGTAACTGATGTGTTTTATGTCGTAGAACAAAACGTGAAAATATCTTGAGTTGGTGTTCGCCACGGACCTTATTTAAGCGATTTTACTGAAACCCCTTTCAAAAAACCCATTGACTTTGGGACGAGGGAACCGGAAGTGCTAAAATGCTAACTCGCTTCCGGGTTTTTGCATACAAATTGACGTCAGAGTTCCTCCACTCTATAATAGTAATAATAATAATTATAATAATAATGGTGATAATAATAGTGATAATGATGATATCAATAACAATAACAGTAATAATAACAGTGAAAGTAATAATAATAATAAATAGTAATAATAAATAGGAGCTGAGCCGAAAGGCAAAGCTCTTGATTTACTGGTCAATCTATGTTCCCATTCTCACCTATGGTCATGAGCTTTGGGTCATGACCGAAAGAACAAGATCTCAGATACAAGTGGCTGAAATTAGTGTCCTTCTCAGGGTGGCAGGGCGCACACTTATAGATGAGGGGCTCTGTTGCCCGGGAGGAGCTCGGAGTAGAGCAGCTGCTCTTCCACATCGAGAGAAGTCAGCTGAGGTGGCTCTGGCATCTGTTGCCTGTTGGACGCCTACCTAGGGAGGTGTTTAAGGCATGTCTGTACGGGAGGAGGCCTCGGGGAAGACCCAGGACACACTGGAGGGACTATGTCTCTCAGGCCCCGTTTACACTAGTGCATTTTAGTTTGAAAATGCATGAGTTTGGCTACGGTTACGCCATCCGTCCACACTACGCCAGCCGAAAACGGAGCGTTTTGGAAACGCTGGAGAGGCTGTTTTCATTCTGAAACGCTGTTGCTCCGTCTCAGTGTGGATGAGGGAAAACGGAGACATCTGGAAACGGAGGCGGGGCTGCTGTGATTCGTTACCTGATTGGGGCTTTTGCGTCATTAGGTATCCTTCGCTTATTCGTCAAGCCTCTATCACATGACTATAACACATGGCTTTAACGCTAACGGAAGACAGCAGACCAGCCTTCACTGTAAACAACAACATGGGCACTGAAATGGAGCGTTGTTTGCACTATTGTCTGTTTTAGGTGCCATTGTGCAGTTATTCATTTGTTCATTTGTTCACTCGATCTCGTCGTCTGTCCACAAAAATACCTCTCTTGCTTTCTTTGCCATCGCGTTCATTGTTCAACCGGCGTATGTTGACTAACAATAACCAAATGCCGAGCGAGACACATGCTTCCTGTTTATACTAGAGTGCCCAGAGTGCGCGAATGGTCACGTGATATATGTTTTTGGTGGCGTAGTGTAGACGAAGATATGTTCAGAAACGCTACGTGAATTACTAGTGTGGACACGGATCATTTTTGATCTAAAACGCTGTTTTAAAACTAAAACACACTAGTGTAAACGGGGCCACAGCTGTCCTGGGAACGCCTCAGGATCCACCTGGAGGAGCTGAAGGAAGTCTCTCTCGAGACTGCTGCCCTCGCGACCTCGACCCAGATAAGCAGAAGAAAATGAATGAATAATAATTATTATAATAATAATGGTGAGATTAATAGTTATAATAATAACGATGACAATAATAGTAATAAAAATAATAATGAGGAGAATAATAATAGTAAATATAATAATAACAACAACACTTTTCTTAGTATTATACTGGAGATTTTACCTTTTAAAACAAAATAATCTAGTTTACATTATTATCAGAGATAAATATTTCCCAAAATGAAATATTAAATAGATTAACATACAATCACACTTAAATAACCAAACAAACCCACTACTAAAACATTGTAACTCCAATTTATTCTGTGGGGTTTTATACAAACAGAGGCAGCTTCACAATAATAAAAACTCAAATAAACTCTGTTTAATGATGTATGTTTTGTTTGTATGAGTAGTTTGAATTAGTTTTTAATGTTTTCTTTTTTGTGATTTAAGGTTTTAGTAATGAAAAGCTTACTTAATTTTCACTTATTTTTTTTTACTTTTCCTGAAAATGCTTTTTGATTTAACGGGCTTTAGATATTTGGAATGGAAACAAGATGAAAACTCCAAGTGAGAAAAGCATTTTTTGCATTACATGAAACAACTTCATACTGAAATACTGCTTTGAAAAACAAATCATAATCCTCATCTAATGTACTGAAATGAGCAAAATCATAATTCACTGTAAATCATTTTAATATAAAACATTTGAACAATTGCATTTCTTACTTTTACACTCATTTTTGCCTTGTTTCTAGTGCAAATCTCACTAATATAACAAAAAATATTGTCTTTTAAGAAATAATGTCAAAATGAAAAGTGTTTTCTTTAAAATAAGCTAAATAATCTTGTTTTTCATTTTGACGTGAGACTTATTTTGCTTACTCCACTGGCAGATTATTTAGCTTATTTATTTTTTAAGGAAAAATTCACTAAAATTTAACTAGTTGTCTGGAAAGATGATTTAAGAATTTAACACCTGCAAGATAATGATGATGAAGTTATTGAGTGTGGAAGTGTCTCTCTGTGGGTTTCAGTTGAATTTTATGGAGAAAATCCTGCAAGATCTGTCAGCGATCTCTGATGGAGCAAACACACAGAATGACAGCGAGATGCATCTGGACGAAGAAGACCAGCTGGAGAGACTCAAACTCCCACAATACATCAGCAGCTTCAGGGTGAGTGGGTTAATATTTAAATTTACATTCATGATTTTACACTAATGCTGATTTCATTCATACTGCTTACACTGATGATGACTACATTCATGCATTTACACTCATGCTGTTCACATTCATACATTTACACTCATGCTGTTCACATTCATGCATTTACACTCATACTGTTCACATTCATCATTTACACTCATGCTGTTCACATTCATACATTTACACTCATGCTGTTCACATTCATGCATTTACACTCATGCTGTTCATATTCATGCGTTTACACCCATGCTGTTTACATTCATCATTTACACTCATGCATTTACACTTATGCTGTTTACACTCATGCTGTTCACATTCATCATTTACACTCATCATGTTCACATTCATGCATTTACACACACACACACACACACACACACACACACGCACACACACACATTCAGACTTCATCCCAGACCTCAGTGTTCTGGTGAATTTCAGAGGAACAGTGATAAAGAATCTAAACTAGTTATTTAAGAAAAGGAAGCTGCTGTTTCTAATTTGATATGCAAAAATCTGGAGCCTCTAGAGAATAAACATGATGCTGAAAAACCTGTTTCATGCGACCTGTGTTTTTTATCGTTAGTTTGCCTTTAAAGGGACGGTTCGCCCAAAAACTCAGGGATCAAATGTATGCAGTGTTTATTTTATAAGCATTCATCAGCTTATACATCAACAGAATGTCAATCAAAGTGTTTCATTCAGTTCTGATTATAATAAACACAATTAATTAATGTTAACCATTAGAGGCTGGAGATACTCACACGCTGCTGACACACAACTAGGGTTAAACCCCGCATAAAAGTGATTTCTGCATAATAGGTGCACTTTAACTGCTGGTGTTTTTGCAGGAGCTGAAGGAGCGTCTGCAGACTCAGGATAAAATCGTCTCAAGGAGTCTGGAGTCTCTGCTGGAGCTCCTGCCGATCAGTGAAGAGTCGGATTTATCTGCGTATCGGCAGCGGATGCAGGACTGGGGAGACGAGCAGCAGAAACTCATCCAGAGAGAAGCAGAGAGCAGAGAAAAGAGCAAACGGGACGCGCACACACTCAGAGCCGCGCAATGAAGAGATTGAGAGTGTGTGTGTGTACACTGCAAACACTGCTTTGCTTACTGTGAGTTTTTGTCTTGTTTCTAGTCCAAATATCTAAATATTCTTGAAGCATTTTCTAGACAAGCAAAATAATGAAATAATGAGTCAAAATGAAGTGAGTTTTTCCTTAAAACAAGCACAATAATCTGCCAATGGGGTGAGTAAAATAATAATGCTTTCAGTTTGACTGAAGATTCATGAACTGACTCCCTTGGCAGATTATTTTGCTTGTTTTAATGAAAAACTCTCTTCTTTTCGACTCATTATTTCTGAAAATAAGACTATATTTGTTCTTCCTCTAGCAAATGCTTCTTGGTTTAAGATTTTTTGAGATATTTAGACTAGAAACAAGACGCAAACTCTAAATAAGAAAAGTCTTGTTCGGTGTGTCATCATCGTCATGTAGGTTTGTGTGTTGATATTATCTGGTGTCTTTATATCAGTAATCTGTAAATCTAAACAGCAGAAATAAACAATCAGAATACTTTTATATTTAGTCTCTGTCGTTTTATACTGCGCTACAAGGCTAACGTTGTTTTTTTTTTAACAAAAAACTATTTAAATTACTTGTATTTTTCACCAAGGACGCATTTTTTGATGGGGGAAGCTGTAAATATTAGGACATATAGTATTTCTACAGCAATACGGTGCCTCACAGCAAGAAGGTTGCTGGTTTGAGTCTCAGCTGGGTCAGTTGGCGTTTCTATATAAAGTTTGCATGTTCTCCCTGTGTTGGTGTGAGTTTCCTCCGGGTGCTCCGGTTTCCCCCACAGTCCAAACACATGCGCTATAGGGGAATTAATGAACTACATTAGCTGTAGTGTATGAGTGTGCATGGATGTTTCCCAGTGATGGGTTGCAGCTGGAAGGGCATACGTTGCGTAAAGCATATACAGGATAAGTTGGGGGGTCGTGGAGACCCCTGATTAATAAAGGGACTAAGCCGAAAAGAAAATCATGAATGAATGAATGAATGAATGAGTAGCTTATTTTAGTAAAGCACTAAGACTAAATAAAAGAGATTAATCATTTCTTGGCCACAAGCTGAAATAAAATTAAACTATGCTATATATATATATATATATATATATATATATATATATATATATATATATATATATATATATAGCACACGGTCGCCAATGTGTGTGTGTGTGTGCAGTGCGCACACACATAAGCACGCGGTCGGCATTCAGTCTCATACGGTCAGCATTCTAAAGTCATCTTAATGTGAGCGCTTTAATGGTCAAATAGGTGTCAAAACGCGGTGTTTAGTGATTATTTACAGTATATTAACCCTCATTTGTGTAATGAACATACGAGTTGAGAATCAAAAGACGTGAAAGAGAATCCATTAAAGTGAAAGCGCGCGTTGTTCCTGCATATATATAAACTTTTTTTTACTGAGTTTATTTTATTTTAGCTAGTTTGTAAATCTTTTTAGTAGTTTTTCAAATTATTATTATGATTATTTATAAAACTTCTCAAACATTTAAAAGAAGATTTTTTCAACTCATCTCTAAACATTCATTAGTTTTCTTTTCAGCTTAGTCCCTTTATTCATCAGACGTCAACACAGTGGAACGAACCGCCATCTTATCCAGCACATGTTTTACACAGTGGATGCCCTTGCAGCCTCAACCCAACACTGGGAAACAGCCATAGGGCCCTATCACACACCCGACGCAATGTGGTGCAAGGTGTGACGCAATTGTTGTTTGCTATTTTCAGCTTGGCGCAAGAGTCGTTTTGACGTTTTGTTTAAATAGCAAATGCATTTGCGCTCATATGTGCACCCAAAGGCGTTCTGGTCTCAAAAAGCAGGCGTGTTAAGGCACGTTGCTATTTTAAAAAAAACTATAATAGTCTGTTCTTTGGACCAGAACAAAGCCGGTCTAAAGTCCAGCGTAGAGCGTGTTAGTTGTGCGCCTCGCTTACACACCGCTTAATACACACAAGATGTAGAACAATGCGCAAATATCTTTACAAATGAAAAAGAATTAAAATATTAAGGATATATATAGGATATAATAATAAAGAATTAAAATATTACAAAACATATTATTTTCTAGCCTACATAAATATAAACCACTGCTGTTATGTCTTCTTCATCTCGGGAGGCTTTTTCAATTCATTCAATTTGTGTTTGTATAATGTAATTTATATTAGCAGTATTATTTATTAGATCCATATTTATATTTGTTTTATTAAAAACAAGCTTAGATTTGTCCACCTGTCAGGTTTTAGACCATATGGGGCACAGCATGTGTTTTAGGATATAACTCAGGTTTTTGAGCACACTTCATTATTATTGTTCATTTATTCGTTTGCTGGAAATTAGAACTGAATTTAGAAATAGTTTTGACACAAATCTTCGCGCTTAACAAACTAAATGAATTATTTATAGGCTAATTGATGTCTGTGCGTAAAGGTTTCCCTATCCAAGAGCGAAAGTGAAAGTAAAGAGTGAGGAGGCTCATCTCTCATTCTGGCACTGCAGATGCTCTGTTTAACTGTTTTCTCTCTAGTGAAGTGCTCAGGTTTTGGACTTTCAAAGTCGCCATGTAAATAGCAAATGCACCATGTAGTGACACAACTGGCTCTTAAAGGGAATGAGAGATGAGACTCTGATTGGTTTATTCTCAAAACACACCTATAACTCATTAAGAGAATAAACTCAACCCTTTGATGCACCACGGCGCAAAGCGGATTTTTCCGTCCTTAAAATAGCAAAAGTGGATTCTGACACCCCCTGAAAGCGTTTGCACCCTGCGCTTTACACTGCGCATGGACCGTCAAAATAGAGCCTATAATCTCTTGCATTTACATTCATACACTACTGCCAATTTAGTTGATCAATTCCCCTATAGCGCATGTGTTTGGACTGTGTGGGAAACCAGAGCACCCGGAGGAAACCCACACCAACTCGGGGATAACATGCAAACTCCACACAGAAACCCCAACTGACCCAGCCGAGACTCGAACAAGCGACCTTGCTGTGAGGTCACAGTGCTAACCACTGTGCCACCGTGCCGCCCATTTTTAATCATAATAGTTTTAATAACTCATCTCTAATAACTGATTTCTTTTCTCTTTGTCATGCTTTAAAACAATTAAAAACTGCTTTTATTCTAGCCCAAATAAAACAAATAAGACTTTCTCCAGAAGAACAAATATTATCAGACACACTGTGAACATTTCCTGAATCTGTTCAACATCATTTGGGAAATATTTAAAAACAATAAAAATTTCACAGGCAGGTGAATGATTGTGACTTTATTACATATAATGATTACTCCCCAGCTCTGTGCACACACACACACACACACACTCACAATGAATGTAAACGCAGTGTTGTTGTGTGTTTCTCCATTTCCTCAGTTTTGTGTCTGTTTTGTCTCCGTATTGCTCCACATGTTATGGATCTTCTTCCAACTCAAACAGAGCGTCTGTAATGATGCTGCTTTGTGTTTAGTGTTTCTGCTTTCACACACTTTGACACACACCCATCTGAGACACACACACCCATCTGAGACACACACAACCCCCCAGGACAAAGCACATTGAGTAGCGCTGCTTATCTGCAGATTCTGACAAAAGCAGGACTGGGAGTCGGGCAGTGGAACTGGTTTACGTTGATTGTTACTGTGATCTTCTGCACTGATTCTGTGCTCCTGCTGTTCTGCCATCAAAACAACACACAGCATATATCCGTCCACACTAGTATACTGAGATCAGTGCCTGCTTTTATTTATGTTAAGTATGTTTTTTCTATTTTATTTCAATCTTTTTTTTCTTTATTATATTTTTTATTAGTATATACACTAACCGGCCACTTTATTAGGTACACCTTACTAGCACCAGGTTGGACCTCCTTTTATTATTATTATAACCTTTATTTTACCACGCAAAAACAATTGAGATTAAAAATGCCTTCAGAACTGCTATAATCCTTTAGAGATTCAGCAAGCTACTGGAAATATTCCTCAGAGATTTTGCTCCATATTGACATGATAGCATCACACAGTTGCTGCAGATTTGTCTGCTGCACACCCATGATGCCAATCTCCCGTTCCACCACATCCCAAATGCCTTGTTGATGAGGCCAGAGGTCAGAGGAGAATGACCAGACTGGTTCCAGCTGATAGAAAGGCAACAGTAACTCAAATAAGCACTCGATACAACCGAGCTCTGCAGAAGAGCATCTCTGAACACACAACACGGCCAACCTTGAGGCGGATGGGCTACAGCAGCAGAAGAGCACACCGGGTGCCGCTCCTGTCAGCTAAGAACAGGAAACTGAGGCTACAATTCACACAGACTCACCAAAACTGGACAATAGAAGATTGGAGAAACGTTGCTGCTCTGATGAGTCTCCATTTCTGCTGACACATTCGGATGCTCGGCTCACAATTTGGCCTCAACAACATGAAAGCATGGATCATCCTGCCTTGTATCAGTGGTTCAGGCTGGTGGTGGTGGTGTAATGGTGTGGGGGAGATTGTCTTTGGGTCCATTAGTACCAATTGAGCATCAACGCCACAGCCTACCTGAGTATTGCTGCTGACCATGTCCATCCCTTTATGAGCACAGTGTCTCCATCTTCTGATGGCTACTTCCAGCAGGATAACGCAGCATGTCATAAAGCTCAATCATCTCAGACTGGTTTCTTGAACATGACGATGAGTTCACTGTACTCAAATGGCCTCCACAGTCACCAGAGCTCAATCCAATAGAGCAGCTTTGGGATGTGGTGGAACGGGAGATTGGCATCATGGATGTGCAGCCGACAAATCTGCAGCAACTGTGTGATGCTATCATTTCAATATGGAGCAAAATCTCTGAGGAATATTTCCAGTAGCTTGTTAATTCTACAACATGAAGGATTAAGGCAGTTCTGAAGGCAAAAGTGGTGCAACTTGGTACTAGTATGGTGTACCTAATAAAGTGGCCAGTGAGTGTACATAATAAAAACACAGTACACACACACACACATATATATATATATATATATATATATATATATATATATATAGTGTCAAAACAAACTTTTAAATTTGATGAATCGTGATTAATTTTTGCCCACCACTAATATTTGTGTTTTGTATGTGTGTTTTTAGGTTTTCCCTTACATTCTAGTCTGCTTCACAGTATAAATATGAATGCAGGTCGTCAGTCATGTTGTCTGTCTGCAGTGGACGTTAATCCACAGATTTGATTTGTGAGTTGTGACGTGTCAGATATGCATGATAACACACACACACACACACACACACACACACACACACACACACACACACACACAGGTTTCATGTGTCATGTGATGATAAACGAGCGTCTGTCATAAATGAATCAGAGGTATTCTGGGCCTCTTCATGCAATAATGCAGTTAAAATCAGACCCAGAGTGAGTTTTAATTATATTTCAGCTCTCTCTATCATATGGATGCTTCCTCTGTGTGTGTGTGAGTGTGTGTTCAGGTTTTCAT